TACCTAGCACGAGGCCTTTTGGGAGCTCACTGGCTTCGGGTTCCGTAGGAACTCCGAAGTTAAGTGAGAAGGGGGCTAGAGCACTCCCATGATGGGTGATCCACTGGGAAGTTGCTCGTGAGTTCCCAAAAACAAAACCGTGAGGGAATGGTAAGCCCAAAGCGGACAATATCGTGCTACAGTAGTGGAGCGGGCCCTGGAAGTCGTCCCACCCGGGCCGGGATGTGACATTTGGTATCAGAGCCTAACCCTGGCAGTGAGTGTGCCGACGAGGACGTCGGGCCCCTAAGGGGGGTGGATTGTAATATCCCACATCGCCCAGGGGAGTGATCCTTAAATTTATATTCTCATCCCTACCTAGCATGAGGCCTTTTGGGAGCTCACTGGCTTCGGGTTCCGTAGGAACTCCGAAGTTAAGCGAGAAGGGGGCTAGAGCACTCCCATGATGGGTGACCCACTGGAAAGTTGCTCGTGAGTTCCCAAAAACAAAACCGTAAGGGAATGGTAAGCCCAAAGCGGACAATATCATGCTACGATAGTGGAGCGGGCCTGGGAAGTCGTCCCACCCGGGCCGGGATGTGACATACAAATACAAATAAAACTTAAAAAAATATGGGCACAAAAAGAAATTAATATATGGGTACAAATAAAACTTGAAAAGGAATAAAGTTTTAATCAATGTAGTAGCGAAAGAAGGGATGGGAACCTAATTTCTTTTTGTTTTCTTGGATGTTGAAGCCGAGCTTAGGTTTTAGGAAAAATTAATTTCGAGTAATTTGTTGAGCGTCTTATGTGACATCCCACATCGCCTATGGGAATGATCCTTATATGTATATTCTCATCCCTACCTAGCACGATGCCTTTTGGGAGCTCATTGGCTTCTGGTTCCGTTGGAACTCCGAAGTTAAGCGAGTAGTGCGTGAGAACATTCCCATGATGGGTAACCCATTTGGAAGTTCTCGTGTGAGTTCTCATATCGCCCAGGGGAGTGATCCTTATATGTATATTCTCATCCCCACCTAGCACGAGGCCTTTTGGAAGCTCACTGGCTTCGGGTTCCATGGGAACTCCGAAGTTAAGCGAGTAGCGCGCGAGAGCATTCCTAAGATAGGTGACCTACTGGGAAGTTCTCGTGTGAGTTCCCAGAAACAAAACTGTAAGGGCGTGGTCGGGGCTCAAAGCGGACAATATAGTGCTACGGTGGTGGAGTAGGCCCGGAAAGTGGTCCCCCAGGGCCGGGATGTGACAATTTGGTATCAGAGCCTAACCCTGGCCATGGTGTGCCGACGAGGACGTCGGGGCCCTAAGGGGGGTGGATTGTGACATCCCACATCGCGCAGGGGAGTGATCTTTATATGTATATTCCCATCCCTACCTAGCACGAGGCCTTTTGGGAGCTCACTGGCTTAGGGTTCTGTTGGAACTCTGAAGTTAAGCGAGTAGCACGCGAGAACATTCCCATGATGGGAAACCCACTGGGAAGTTCTCGTGTGAGTTCTCACATCTCCCAGGGGAGTGATCTTTATATGTATATTCCTATCCCTACCTAGCACGAGGCCTTTTGGAAGCTTACTGGCTTTGAGTTCCATGAGAACTTCGAAGTTAAGCGAGTAGCGAGCGAGAGCATTCCCAGGATAGGTGACCTACCGGGAAGTTCTCATGTGAGTTCCTAGAAACAAAACCATAAGGGCGTGGTCGAGGCTCAAAGCGGACAATATCATGCTATAGTGGTGGAGCGGGCCCGGGAAGTGGTCCCTCCGGGCCGGGATGTGACAATTTGGTATCAGAGCCTAACCCTGGCCGTGGTGTGTCGAAGAGGACATCGGGCCCCTAAGGGGGTGGATTGTGACATCCCACATCGCCCAGGGGAGTGATCCTTATATGTATATTCCTATCTTTACCTAGCATGAGGCCTTTTGGGAGCTCACTAGCTTCGAGTTCCATAGGAACTCTGAAGTTAAACGAGTAGCGCACGAGAGCATTTCCAGGATGGGTGACCTACTGGGAAGTTCTCGTGTGAGTTCCCAAAAACAAAATCGTGAGGGCGTGGTCGGGGCCCAAAGCGGACAATATCATGCTACGGTGGTGGAACGGGCCCAAGAAGTGGTCCCCCTGGGCCGGGATGTGACATCTTATATTTACGATCATGCATAATTATCTCTACTAATTAATAAAACACTCATTGTCAACCAAAATTTTATGAAATTACCAGTTTAACCTTCTAATTAAAACAGAACATGAATAAAAAATATAGGGCAAAAATGTAATTTCACACAACCAAATTTTACTTTTTTTTTCAAAGCTTCACCTACATGTAATCCTAACATACCCCTAATTTAAAAAATAAATAAATAAATAAAATAAAACTTCTCACTCCCACATTCTCTATCACTCTCTTCCTCTCTCCTTCTATTTAAAAAAAAAATAAATAAATTATTTTGTGTGTGTCCATGTGCTAATAACTAATTATGGAAGCCATTATTGAATTTAGTTGTTGTCACATCCCGGGCCAGGGCACTCCACCACCGTAGCACGATATTGTCCGCTTTGGGCTTACCATTCCCTCACAGTTTTGTTTTTGGGAACTCACGAGCAACTTCCCAGTGGGTCACCCATCATGGGATTGCTCTCGTGCGCTACGCACTTAACTTCGAAGTTCTCATGGAACCCGAAACCAATGAGCTCCCAAAAGGCCTCGTGCTAGGTAGAGATGGAAATATACATATAAGGATCACTCCCCTGGACGATGTGGGATATCACAATCCACCCCCTTTAGGGGCCTGACATCCTCGTCCGCACACCACGGCCAGGGTTAGGCTCTGATACCAAATTGTCACATCCCCGCCCGAGTCGGATCACTTCCCCGGCTCGCTCCACCATTGTAGTACGATATTGTCCGCTTTGGGCCCCGACCAAGCCCTTACAGTTTTGTTTTTGGGAACTCACGCTCAACTTCCCAGTGGGTCACCCATCATGGGATTGCTCTTATGCACTACTCACTTAACTTCGAAGTTTCCATGGAACCCGAAGCCAGTGAGCTCCCAAAAGGCCTCGTGTTAGGTAGAGATGAGAATATATATATAAGGATCACTCCCCTGAGCGATGTGGGATGTCACAGTTGTCATTTAGAAATGATTTATTATAATAATAATCTTATTTCATTAACAAGTTATTGAGCATCTACCCAGACTTGTGTGTTTATATAACGATGAATGATGTGGCTTGTTATGTTCTCATACAATAGATGATCACTGCATCTTCATACATGATTCAACCTTAAAATATATACATATTTACAATTGTTCATTGCAAAATTTGAATTCTAAAACATTAGATCTTAATTCAGTCTAGCTTATTACATAATAACATACGAAATTATGTGTAAGATAAGAAATTATGCTATGAACGAAAAAGAATTCTCGAAGAATCTAATAACTCAGCCCCAACCATCATACATTTGATGATTTACAATGTACGCTTACATAGAAAATATATGCATGGTTTCTTAAACTTTACCCTTAATTAAATTAAAATGGAAAATGACAAGGCTAAATTATAATAGAAAGGAGAATCACAATGATCTAAAGCTTCTGTGGTAGTGTGCTGGATTTGATCGATTTCTCATGTTCATTCTTTAGGAGAAATACTTAAATAGGAATTTCGGTATACAAGTTTTTTTTTTTTTTAATTTTTTTTTTATACATCGATATATTAACATCAAGAAGTAGATGAATAAGTTGATATCAAATTTTTTATTTATGATATTCTAATTAAAATTTCTTACTTACAAGTAAAGAGGATATCAATATCACTCAACCGTATACAAACTTCTTTGCTATAATATTCTTAAGATACATGCTTATTGTACGGTCGTGATCTAATTGTCGGCAGGCCAGGCCATGCCACGATACTCTTCTCATTTTCATATTAACATGCCTTGTACTGTTGTACAAATTATACAATTAGAACACATAATCGAGACTACTGTAGATTTGGATATATTATTCTCGGGTGCATGTGAATCACTGTGTTGTAAGTTTAAGCTGTTATTCTAATGATTGTCTTTGAGTTGAGCAATGTACCTAGTTGATGATCCTTAACAATTATAAAACTAATTAATCACAAAGAGATTAGATAAAATACAAACTGATCAATATCTCTATATTATATATTTTAATTAACTAATATTTGCGTTGCTGGACTTGTCTGGGGAGGCATCTCTTTCACAAACCTTGAATCACATTGGCTAAGAGCACTGGGATTTGTTGGGCATGCCTCAAAACCTAACTGCAACAGCAGCAGTTTGGTTTCTGTGTGTGAAAAAGAGATTCTTAAATTAATTATTTTTAAAATTTTTCTAAATGTACTTGAAGCTGTAGTATATCCTGATAGGGAATGTGAAGGCAAGTTCATATTCTACAAAACAGAAGCCAAGCCTTGCTGCTGTATATATTTGCATGTTTGAAGAGCCTTTTGCCTTTCTTTGAAACAGTGCTTTTATTTCTGTTGGCTTTTGCTTATTCTTCAAAAGAACACAAGCTGTAGTTAATCCCATCAGCTCTTGAGTGCCTCTTTCTGAAACGTGCAGGTCAGAGATTCAAACTTGATCATTCTTTCAGTCATATAGATTTGTTCTTTGTCTAGATGTTTTACTGTTATTGCAAAAGCATGCAATTGGGGTTTTGATATTGTTCGGAATGCTCAACTTATCTAAGTTGGTTAGAACCGTTACAACCGTATGCTCCTCCTATGCACACACGTTTGAGCCATCTCTCTCATGGTTTAGATTAATTTAGTTTAAACTATCACTCGAATCAAAGAAAAAATTGCTTGGAATGCAAACAAGTTTGATTTTGGAGGCTGATTTTTATATGGAAACTGTACATCGCTGTGATGTCATCATCTGGGAGGTAGGCAACTTGAACAGAAAAAGGATGTTTAATTACCACTTAAATGAAAAGGGTTAAAAACAAAACAAAATTCAACAGTAGGTAGCTGAGAAAAATCAGTAAAAGCATAAAATAATTTACAAAAGTATTAATTAGGAACAGATGATATAGTACTGTGCTGCTGATATAAGTGAGGCCCTGTGAAGCTGGAAGATATTTTTGTTGTGGTCCAAAATTGGCTGAAGCAGACAAATTATACTAAAAAGCAGTTTGCTGATATAATCCATTTGTATTGGTGTTTGCAACTCATCATAGCAAGTGCTCTCTTTGTTTCTATGCAGAATAGAAACCATCATGTTTCTAGCACATTATTCATTCCTTACTATCTAAATACATTTTCTGCCTTTTTTATCCTTCATTTGAGCACAACAGTATCAGACTTTCACAAGTCAGGATATATTCTTGCACAAGGTTGCCAAATTAAGCTTCTAGGTATGGAGAAGCTTCTGAAGCCATATGATAAGGAGTATATGAGGATGGCCATCTTAAAGCATGAAGAAACTTTCAAGGAGCAGGTAATAAATAATAATTTCAGGGTAGTGATTTTTACAGTCCCGTTTTCTCCTTCCGCACTCTTCCCCTTAATTCCGTCTATTCATTCTCCTTTGATTTATTCAGTCTGAAGACCAGGAAAAGAAACCTGGGAAGTGCGGAAATCACTTCTGTAACTCTATTCCAATCTGTTCACTCCTTTCTGTTTTTAGCTTGTCTCTAAACTTGAGTTAGTGCTGCAGGTATATGAACTTCATAGGCTGTATCATATGCAGAACATATTGATGAAAAGCTCGGTCGGGAAAAGCAGGCCCAACGGACAGAAACAAGAGAGTTGGAATTTAAATTATCATCAGAACCAAGAGGCACAATTTAACCCACAAAGGAAACTAGATTTAGAACAACCTGCAGCGGCAGGAGCAGAAGAGTTCATTGCAGACACAGATGGAGATGATGGGGTGCTCGAGATCATAGATGAGAGTGAGATTGAGTTGACTCTGGGCCCCACCAGATACAACAACAACAACAGCAACGGAAGGAAGAGAGGAGGAGAGGCAGCAGCACTAACGTTATCAGATTCAGCAGGTCCAAGTAGCTTCTCATCTTCTTGTTCTACAGGATCAAGCCATGCAATAAACAGGAAAAGTAGTTTCTCCGGGAGGACCAATCAGAGTAGTACACATGGGCAGCTGCTGCCTGCTGACATGGCATCAGGTGGGTACAGAAGAGGTGGAGGGAGTAAAATCAGCAGCAACAATGTTAATGGTGGCGAAGAACAGTTAAGACAGGATGAGAGGCTAAAACTGCCTCATTGGCTCTTCCAAGTTTTAAGCTTGAACATGACTTGAGATGATCTGATATGATTTTTAGACCTCTTCTTCTTACTTCTTAACTAATATGTGATTGATGATGTTTGGGTGGGCTTCTAAATAGTTGGTTAATTTTCTATTGTGATGGGTGGAGTTTTTGTATAAAGATCATCATTTGTCTCCGTTGCTTTATTTCCATTTTCAGTTTTATAAAGAAATGTAATGAATATATGATGAAATGAAGATGAGTAGCCACTGATAGGCGTTACGAGAGAGAGAAAGAAAAGTGATGTACTCGTAATTACACTACACTCAAGATTATGCTCTACTCACTTTGATCAGCAAAGATATTCTCTTGTTATCAATTCATCACGTGACAAAAGTATTGTTCGAGTGTGCATTTTCTTAAATACGTGATAACCATGTATTGGATGGATGATGCTTCTGTGAACACTCAATCATGATTCAAGGACAACTTGACAAAAGGGGATGCTTTTTTCATCTTAAGATTCTGCGTGTTCAAGCAGCTGCGCTGTTGACAAAAGAAAAGTTTATCTTCTAGTTACCTGACAAAAGGAGATAGTCTTGTCAAACCTTATCCTCCACAGTCCACACGCAAGCTCAAATGTTTTCTAGCAACATTGTCGAAAGGGGATAATGGCACGTTTACTTACGTGAAATAAGTGTAGACATCGAAATTTTAGTGAAATAAATGTTAACCAATACAACACTTATTTCACCTATATCATTCCCTCACTTCACCAACAACCTCCACTCATTTCACCTACATCATCCATTTACCTCACCTATAACCTCCACTCACTTCACCTACATCATCCACTCACTTCACCAAAAAATGAATGGTGGTGATTCACTCTCAAAGCCTATAAATAGGCTTCTCCATCAAGAGGAAAAGACACCAATTCACAAATACATTTCTTTACTCCCAAAATGGAAGAGAATACTCCCTACACACACCAAAACCTTAAAGCCTTAAAGTTCTAAAGCTCTCAAGAAAATCCCGAAGGATCATGAAAGCACTCTTCGTTCTTCGTCAAATCCTACTTCAAGATCAAGTCCCAACGGCCTTTGAAGAACTCCCACCAACTCAAGATCAAACCCCGACGGCCCCTTGAAGAAAGTGTTCATCATTCATCATCCATTCATCCTAAGATCAAGCCCCAACGGCCATTTGGATCAATAACCTCAACAAACCCATACACCCATTCTTCAAGATCAAGCCCAACGCCCCTTGAAGATCCGTTCATCAACTGTTCATCCTTAGATCAAGTCCCGACGGCCCTTTGGATCAACAACTCATCCACAAACCTACACCCTACGAAGATAGAATCAGATGATCAAATTACAAAGAGGTTGTAACCCCAAAATCATTAAACACAAAAATATTATTTTGTACACGTATTCTTGTTTCTTGTTTCAGGAATTTTTCGTGTTTACAAATTTGGCACGCCTAGTGGGACATCTCTACCTCTCATCTCTATCCTCAAATCATTGAAAAACGCAAATGGCATCAAGAAAGGATCAAGCTGTTCCTGCAATCAAAGCAAAGAACAAGAACATCATCGCCGCAAGTGGTGATATTTCGGGCATCATAACCCGAAGTAAGGCAAGAGTTCTTTTTGCCGCGGCTTCCGTCCCTGCATTAACTCTGTCAAAGGAACAAAAGCACCTGAGGCATGAGCATGTGATCACCCTAGCCTCGCTAAGGGCATCAAGAGGGGAAAGCCCGAGGAAATACTCAGAGTCCCTACTCTTCGACGCTGATTCGAGCGGCAGTACAACCATGCAAGTCATGACCACTGGAGCAACTTCAATCGAGGAGCAGCTAGCTCAGATGAATGAAGCAATCGCAAAGCTCACACGGATTGTGGAAGAGAAGGACTTACAGATTGCCGCACTCGTCAACCAACTAGATGCACGGTCTGACATGAAAGTCGACCCAAATGATAGCCTAGTAAAGAAAGAAGTCGACGAAGAAGAGGAGCCTCCAGCAGAGAAAGTCGAAGAGAAGCTGAAGCTAGGCCAAGCAACGGCGTTCATGGGATCTCTCTCTATCCAGCAACTACAGGAGATGATTGCAAGCACTATCAAGACACAGTACGAAGGAAGTGTGATGCGAGTTCGATACGCACACAAATTAAACCATCTTTTTGTCAATTGTAGTAAGTATGTAAGTAGGGATCGTTCTGGACCGGGGATTAGGAGGGATTGTTAACCACTTGGATTTGACTTCAAAAACGTAAAAACAAGTTTAACACACTATAATAAACTCGAAGAATGCAAAACTAAAAGTAAGAAAGATTAAGACTAAAACTTAAACAAAATAAGGGGGGATTGGATTTGGACAAATTTAAACTAAAATGGAAACTTGGAAATAAAACAAATTGTAAATATGGATTTGACGGAAATGAATGGATGGGATGGCTAGCTAAGGGGTTCATCTCCATACATGTTATACTTGCATATAAAACGAATCTAATTGCTTTTCAATAAACCATGAATTCTCAACGCTCCGGGTTAATTAGGTCCGCTTAAATTAACCGTCAAGTTTTCCTTAAGTTAATGAATTGGATGATTGCATACGACAACCCAAAGCATTCCTCACAAGTTCCCTACATGAATTGCATAATAGAGATACAAGCAAGAATCATTAAGCATCATGAAAACTATAAGTGTTGACGAGGCATTTGTTACTATGATTGCATGAAACTTATGCCAAGAATTTGTTTAACGCGATTGTTTATAAGCAACCTCCACTACTTGTGAATATAAGTTCATAACTATTACGTGAAACTCACTTATATTCTAGCGTCAAATTCATGCATGAAAATTAAGCGTCGACTCTCAATAAACATACATAAATAGGTTATCAATCAAATAGTTAAACAAATTGAATTCACAACTTATGAAACGTAATTAGAAGTACTCAAATCATAATGCAAGCATAAACATATATTTCGAATCACCCCCTAGCTAGGGGGGGTTTAGTTCCTCATACTTACAAAACAAAGAAAATTGAAATTAAACGTTGAAATCAAAGAAACGCCTAAACATTCCAACAACTCAACCTTGAATTGTATGAACGTTTAGGCCCTCTTATCTTCCTCTTCGTTGTAGCATAAGGTCTAAGGATAGTTGGTTTGGGGGAATGGAAGTGTGGAATTATGGAAATGGATGAAATGGAGGGGAGATGGAAGAATGGTTTTTGGATTCTAAGGGAGACTCACGGCTAGGAAGGAGAATGGATGATTTTGAGGAGTGTTGTGTTGTGAATAAGATCAGATGTGAATGAATGAATGCAAGGGTATTTATAGGAGGAGTGGAGATGTATATGGCTATTTGTTTAAGGTGTTTGTGGTGTTGTGTTGTGTTGTGAATGATGAAAGAATAAAGGGTGCATGTGGGGTGGAATTGAATGAATGCAAAGTGAATGAATAATGAAATGGGAAAGCATGACCAAGGTGGAAATGCATGTGATGGGTGGGAACAAAGGGGGAAACATGGCACAAGGGTGATGTTGATGTGTGAATGCATGTGTTGAATTGGTGGTGCAATGATGAAAGAATAAGTGCATGTGGAAGACTTGAATGAATGCAAAGTGAATGAATAATGAAATGAGAAATGTTGGAAAGTGATGGTAGTAATGCACGGTTTTGGTTGGTTTTTTTTATGATTTAAAATGTTTATGCATGATGAAGAGTTAATAAATAATGCATGTAGGGTTAGCTAGGTTGTGTGATGATGAGTGTATGTGGAATAAAGAATGAATGGTGGTGTAATGATGAAGTGAATGCATGTGGAATTAAAGAGGGAGAATGTGATGAAATGATGAAGTAGGAAGGTGGAAATGCATGTGAGATGTTGGAAAGGAATTGGGTTAAAGAATGGGAGTGCATGTGCTAGGTTGTTGTTGTGATAAGTGATAAGTGATAGGTGTATGGTTATGATAAGTAGATGAGTGTATGGTTATGATAAGGAGATGAATGAATGATATGTTAAGTGATAAATGAATGATATGTGGTGAGTGATAAGTGAATGTAAGTGATAATAAGGCTAGTTTAAAGGGCTAGGGTTTAAGTACATAGAATGGGCCTAAAATAGGTTGGTTTGCATGGCATAATATGTTTGATTGGGCTAGAGGTTTTCCATGGCTCAAATGATTTGTTTGATTGGGCTATGCCCTTTGTTTGATGTCCCCAAAGAGTATACAAGGCTTCAATTTCGTCCATCCTCTTTGCTCCATGATTAAGCTATCCAATTCATGCCCAAAAGTGCCCCAAATAGCCTCAAAATGCACTTTCTTGCTCCCTAAGCCCTTAGAACCTGAAAACATGATGCGATAATTATACGCACACAAATTAAACCCTCTTTTTGTCAATTGTAGTATAAGTATAAGTAGGGATCGTTCTGGACCGGGGATTAGGAGGGATTGTTAATCACTTGGATTTTTGACTCAAAAACGTAAAAACAATATAAAACACTAAACTAGACTCAAAGAATGTGAAACTAAACGTTAAATCATTAAGACAAACCAAAAGACTCAAAATTCTATAAAAACACAAACTAAATTGATTTCTAACTAATTTGACAATAAAGTAAAGGGGGGATTGTGTTTGGACGATATTAAATTAAATGGACAAATTGTAATTAAAGGCAAAACGTAAATATGAATGAGATGAAAATATGGATGATGGAATAGCCAAGGGGTTCATCTCCACACATGTTATACTTGCATATAAAATTGATTCTCAGTTGGTCTTTCGATAAATTATGAAACTCGACACTCCAAGTTAATTAGGTACGCTTAAATTAACCTTCAAATTTCCCTAGAATCATTGAATTGGATGAATATGCATCGCAAACAAATTATTCCTAACAAGTTCTCTATATGAACAGCATGATAAAGATACAAGTTAGAATCATTACGTTCTTTGGAAATTATAAGCATCGACAAGGCATTTGTAACTATGAAAAGCATGATACTCGTGCCAAGAATTCATTTAACGCGATTGTTTATAAGCAACCTCCACTACTTGTGAATATAAGTTCATAACGATTAGGTGAAATTCACTTATATTCTAGCGTCAGATTTATGCATGAATATTAAGCGCGCATTCTTAATAAACATTCATAAATAAGTTATCAATCAAACGGTTAAACAAATTGAATCCAACATTCATGAAATCCCAACCAAAAGTAATCAATTCATATTGCAAGTATAATCATGGTTTCGAATCACCCCCTAGCTAACT